GACCGATTAAATAGATCAATGTCTGATCCTTAACCCCTCCTTCCTCAGTATTAAGTATTGTAATAAAAAGAAATATAAAGATTAATTTTATACTCTCCCTTCCCTCTCCAAGTTCGACCATGTCGCTCAAACCATGACTAATCACCCCCTCATTCAACTTATATAAGCTTAATACTGCCCGTCAAAGTTGTAAATTTTAAATTCATTTTTTTTGTTTCGTCTTTGAAAGTAAAGTCCGAGGATCCAGAGAAAACGTAAAATTCTCCGGTGAAATAAATTATTACTATGGAGCCTTAAAGTGGCCTGTTTTTAAATTAAATTATTCGCTCTGACTTAACATTCATCCTACTTTGGATTATCCATACGGATTACCAAGATTTTTGTTATATATATATATATATATATATATATATATATACAGAGAGAGATTCCTTCTTTGTTAGTGTGCATATATATATATATATATATATATATATATATATATAAATGAGAAAGAGAGAGAGAGAGAAAGAGAGAGAGAAAGAGAGAGAGAGAGAGAGCGATTGATATTACGGGCATCGTGTCCGAGGATTTGAGCATACAGGCCTTGTTCATACTGCTGATAACGCCAGATAATGCGCTCTCTCCCAGTTCTGCCCAGCAATGTTGCAGTATGAACCACAGGTGAGATTTGTGGGTGTAGAACAAACAAAAATGTGACTGAGCAGGCGTCAGCAAATAGGGATTATCTAGCCACCCTAGTAGACAGGCAGGTATAATCGGAAACGAGCTCCTGGCCATTGCAGACACCTTAATCTATTTTGAGTTCATATTAATTTACACATTACTTATTATAAACCTTATCTTTCCGAATTATCTTGATCGATAGGCTTGAGTCTGAATTCCTTCTTTGTTAGTGTGCATATATATATATATATATATATATATATATATATAGAGATAGAGAGAGAGAGAGATAGAGAGAAAGTTAGAGAGGGATAGATAGATAGATAGATAGATAGATAGATAGATAGATAGATATGAAGAGACTGTGGTAGATAGATAGATAGATAGATAGATAGATAGATAGATAGATAGATATGAAGAGATTGTGATAAATGGATAGATAGACAGTAAGACAGAGAGAGATATGAACATAATGAGATAGATAGATAGATAGATAGATAGATAGATAGATAGATAGATAGATGTGTTGTTATAAACAGGTAAGTTGATTTATATCTGTAAATAACTACAAAAATATTCATAATAATCTGTAAATTATATCGGAAAAAATTCATCTCCCTGCGTTAAATACAGTCCCACCGATACACACATTTGTGCAGAAAGGTTTATGGGCTACTTTCCTTCTCACGCGCACGCACGCTCGCACACTCGCACCCAAGCACCCACGCATACTTACACACACAGACACACACGCACACACACACATACATGCGCAACTGAAATACAGACTACAACAGGCGGCAATAAATTTCACTGGGCCTCCCCTATACGCCCAGCCGTTTCTATGTTCGGAAAACAATGCCGCGCGCGCGCGCACACATACACAGGTTGCGGACAGCAAACAAGAGTAGAAGTAGATGGTTACACCTGAGCTGATGAGCGTGGAACCAGTTTGCATACCTTGGCGCAACGGTGCCCACATGTATAGCAGGGAGCCTGTAACACGTGCACCTTGCTCTTAGCCGAGCGTTTCACACGCGTGTATGCACACACCCACATTGACAAGAGACGGTGCACGCGCACGTGCATTTGCACGCAGCTGGTCATTGCTATTCAAATACACAACTTTATGACTGACATATTGTGAAAAGATAGACCATAATTATAGCTACCTCATACGGTTGATGGACATAAAATAACTACGCCAACACCGACTACAGCATAAACACACACATGCACGCATATTAGCAAGTATAGATGAATAGACACGCACAAGGTGTAAGCTCTCATCCACTCACACAAACACACAGACAGACATATATGCATACATACAGATAGATAGATAGATAGATAGATAAATAGATAATATTTTAGCAAACATAGTCTCATGCATAAATCTATATTACAGGTACAGATGGATAGCTAGAACAACACGCACACACATGTACACACAGCATGCATAGATAGATAGATAGATAGATAGATAGATAGATAGATAGATAGATAGATAGATAGATCTATCTCACTCTCATAGACGCACATAGATAGATAGCTAGAACAATCCGGCGAAATATGTTTACACATGCGCGCAGGAGCACGCACACATGACCCGCACATACGCAGATAGATAGATAGATAGATAGATAGAGAGAGAGAGAGAGAGAGAGAGAGAGAGAGAGATAGAAAGAGAGAAAGAGAGGGAGAGAGAGAAAGACAGAAAGAGAGGTGGGAGAGAGATCTCCCACCCATAAACAGACACTCACAGTTACACAGATGGATAACTAAAACAATCAAGCAAAATATATTTACACACACATATGCAGGAACACACATGCAGACACACACACGCATATACGCACACATACCCCACACGCACGCTCGTGCACACATAGATAGATAGATAGATAGATAGATAGATAGATAGATAGATAGATAATGAACAGAATGAGCTAGATAGATAGATAGATAGATAGATAGATAGATAGATAGATAATGAACAGAATGAGATAGATAGATAGATAGATAGATAGATAGATAGATAGATAGATAGATAGATAGATAGATAGATTTAGTCTTGTATTTTGGGACGGCTGCTCATTAGGAGAAACGATAAAACCACCCAACAAACAACCAAAAAAAAACAAAAAAACTCAAAGAAAATATATCAAGAAAGAGAAGAGAAATATAAGCTTGTTTTAGACTAACAAATGGAGAAAGACTGTTAGATTTTCCATTGGATTGTTTTGGATTGATGATTCCGTGAAGGCGGAAGCGGTGGTAGTAGGAATCTGTAAGACAAATGAGAGAAAAAAGCGTGAAACTATAGGAGAAGAACGTGACTGCTGTGGCGGAAGAGAAAAGGTGGTGGCAATTGAGGAAGGAAAGAAAACAGAAAGGGAAATCTGAAAGAATGTTGATGAAAATGATTGGAGTTGGTTCGTTCAAAATATAAACGAAGTTTCTGTCAACGGAATAGAACTTTTTTTCTTTTTTTTTCTAGTATTTTTTTAGCGATTTAACTCTATTTTGTTATAGCATTTCTTTCAGTTTCTTATTTCTACGTCTTTTCATTATTCTTCAAAAAGATTCTTTCTACTTCTTTATTTTCTTCGTTTTAGCAACTTTATTTCTGTTAAAATAATAGTCTTCTCTTTCTTTTATCTTTCTTTTTTCTTTCTTTTTTCTTTCTTTTTTCTTTCTTTTTGTTCTTTCCTTTCAGTTTCTTTCTCTTTTTCGAACAGTTCTGAAACTTTCTTTCTTTAAGAATATATTTCTCTCTTTCTTTTATCCGCGCCGTTTTTACCTTTCTTTCTTTCTTTCTTTCTTTCTTTCTTTCTTTCTTTCTTTCTTTCTTTCTAGAATAATTTATTTCTCTTTTTCCTTTTTTCTTTCGTTTTGATTTTCTTTCTTTCTTCAAAATTTTTTTCTTTCTTCAAAAATTTCCTTCTTTCTAAAAAGAATACTTGTATTCGAACATTTTCCCCTTCTTTCTTTCTTTCTTTCTTTCATTCATTCATTCAATCTTTCTTTCTTTCTTTCGTTCTTTCTTTCTTTTTAGAATAATTTATTTCTGTTTTTCCTTTTTTCTTTCGTTTTGATTTTTCTTTCTTTCTTCAAAATTTTTTCTTTCTTCAAAAATTTCCTTCTTTCTAAAAAATACTTGTATTCGAACATTTTCCCCTTCTTTCTTTCTTTCTTTCTTTCTTTCTTTCTTTCTTTCTTTCTTTCTTTCATTCATTCATTCATTCAATCTTTCTTTCTTTCTTTCTTTCATTCAATCTTTCTTTCTTTCTTTCTTCTCACCTTCCTCCCTTTTCTTCCTGGAAGACTACGGGAGACCAACAGCACCGGGAAGTAGTAGTTAATCAGTGGGTGACAAAGGCACTACATTGCCATCACAGTGGCGACATCTCCAACAAACGCCAAACCAACTGTCAGTTGGGCGCTTCGGAATACACGGACAACGTACTGACCATCATTCGACAACAGCTGGGATTGTACCCTGTTCTAACTTTTGTCTGACTTACCTCACGAAGGAGCACATACCTATGACAATAAGCGAGACTTCATCGATATCTAAATAAATATATATATATTAGACAGACGCACATATATATTTCTCTATCAATATACAAAGATATATGTATATATTTACGCGTATATTTGCGTTTTTTCGTATGCATGGATCTATATCCACGTGATTTGTGCGCATAAACATCTATAGGTGCTCAGTTATAGACTTACGTGTAAACTGCTGTTGTGATCCACCAGGTATTTGCAATTGTTTTGTTATTGTTCGCTTGACAAACGGGTCGATACTTACAAAGCTGTATATATCAGCGATGCAAGAGAAAAAGTTTGGATAAAGATGACAGAATAAAGGACGAAGAGTGACAAAAAAAAGAAAAAACTATTGAAAAAGGGGGAAAAAAATATCCCAAAATAATTGTCTGTTAAAAACATCAATAATGAATATATAAATAAAAAGACCATTAGGAGAGTAAGGAAGACAAATAGGAGAGTAAGACGTTCAAAGAAGGATGTATCCTGGATTTTTAAAAAGTATTCAATTTTATTATGTTTCTATTACATCTACATCAAAAAAATATCTAAGTAAAAAAATATCGACTGATATTTAAATATATATAAATTTTAATAAAAATTTAAAAATCCTCCAAACAAAAAGTAAAAATAAAAAAAAAAAAATAAATGTACATTTTCTTAATTTTGAAACGTGGGATCGCGTACTTTTCTCTTCATATATAATATTCCTAAATTTATTTCTTCCACTCTGCATGTATATGTATATATATATATAGAGATGCTTATTTATACTTAATATATATATATATATATATATATATATATATATATATATATATATATATATAGATGCATATTTGCACTTAAAATACATGTGCTTAATTGCACGCATATGCACCATTTGCACATTATTATTATTACTATGCGTGTATAATTTCGATTGAAACATCATAATCTGAATTCAAATACACAAATCTATATCGGTCGTAAATTATATAAAATAAATATATGCTTATTTATATACATAATCCATACACAAAGACAATTATATTTATACCAATATCTATTTATTTATCTATCTATCGATTTATTTATTTATCTATCTCCTATATATAAGTAAAGGTTTGCAGAGATTTACGGATGTAGCACATTCTGAATTCGAACAACGTTCGAAAAATATTTCGTCCCTTCCAAAAATTTAAAACGTCCAGTGCCCAAAAGTATTATATAGATAAATAAATGAATAATCTAAATATATATACGCATATATATATATATATTGTTATATAATACAATTTCGCAAAACTTTCATAACATACCGCAAATTATAAACATATATCATTCATTGCAGGCGTATGGTAACGCATATACAGATACAACTGTACAAAACTATATATATATATATATATATATATATATATATATACTGAGAGAGAAACATTCTTACGTGCATACATATATATATATATATATATATATATATATATATATATATATATATATATATAGGTATATATATAGGTATATGTATATTTGACGGCCAACTGATTTACCTTTTCAAATTACATTTGTGCGTATATATGTTTTCAAGATTCGGCATTTTGGGCTGATCTTTTTATCTCCATACATACACACACCTGTGACTCCGTAAGAATTGGTGAACAAGCCTACCTGAAAAAAAAAATTAATTAGCATATATACATATACCTATGTATAAAATTTCGCACAGATGTGTTCGGCATACATGAATTCAAACGTATGCGCACACAAAAATATATATTTATATATATATATATTTAATATTTATTATATACATATATGAATATATGCATGTAGATCTATGCTCTTGTATATATATATATATGTATATATATATATATATATGTATAAGAAAACAGCATTGGAGTACATTTTCTAAAAAGTAAAGGAGCATAGAAAAAAATACTGTGAAAGATAGATAATTCTTTCTAAATGAAAAATAAGAAAATGTTTCTGATTTGAAGTTAAAAAAAAAAACAAAAAAAGAAAAAGTAAAGCAGAAAGACAGTGCACGGAAGTTGAAGGAAAGTTTTGGAAAATAAAAGAATTCAGTGCTGGAAGGATATTTTTGGAAATTGAAAGCAAATTGCAATTTCTTTTGTTTCCTTCATCTTCATTTTCAAAGTCACGAAAGAATCCAGTAGCATAATCATGATTGCTTCGTAACTTTTTACATCTTTGGAATAATTTGTTATTGAAATGCAGTAAAACTTTTTGAAGGTAAGTAATACTTTTGACCAAAGATTGTCGTTTTGCGTTGTTTTGTCTTCTATGACACAAATAAATGTAGTTTTCTGTTTGTTTTACTTCCTTTCTAGATGTCTTTCTATCACTTTTTTCTTTCCTTTTCTTTCATTTAATTCATTAACTCATTCTTACTTTGGTTTTTCTCTCTTTCTGGAAGAATGTCTTGTAAGAAGTTACTTTTTTTTTCCAGAATAATTTTTCACATTCCTCCTCGATTTGCATTGTAGATTTTCTTTCTTACTAAATGAATTACTTTCTTTTTAAAGTTTCAGACTTTTTTCATAGAAGAATCCCTTTTTATCTAAAAGAATTATTTCACTTCTAGAAGAAATTTTTACTTTCTTTCTCGAATTGATTTGTATATTTTCTTTCAAACTCAACCAATTAATTTATTTTAAAAGTCTCGCAACTTTTCCTAGACGAATCCTTTTTTATCTAAAAGAATTATTTCATTTCTACAAGAATTTAATACATTTTTTTCGATATTTTTTCATTTTTTTTCTCTTTAAATCAAGTTTCTTACTTTTTATAAGAATGTCTCCCCTTGCTTTCTTGAAGAATTTATTAAATTCTTTCATTCTTGAAGATCGTTCATAACATAATTTCTTTCTAAAATAATTTGTTATTTGTAGAATTTGTTACATTTTTTCTAAAAGAATTGTCTTCTCACGAGAAGAATTTCTAGCTAAAATTTCTTTTTGTCACTCATTTTTTTTTTCGAAGTCTTAATTCGATTTGTCAGACTTACTGTTTATTTACACCATCAAGATCCAGTTGCTTCGTTGCCTGCGAAATATTTATGACGAGGGAAAGTGATAAAAAAGACTGTTGGGAAATAGTTTTAACTCGTTCTTTTTTTTCATTTGATAAATGTTCAACTTAATTCTATATAAGTCAATAAGAGTTTGATGTCTAGTATGGATCGAACTCGGGATAATAATAAGAGTTATTTGCTCTCCTGTGAAAAGGCCACGTCCTTAAATTATATTAAAAAAAACTGATTTC